TCTTCTACTTTGTGTCAACGTTTGTCAGTTTTTTAGTCATTTGGTAATTCGTTCACGTTTATATTAAAAATTTAACTTATGTTTTTTTAGACGACTTAAGAAATATAATTTTATTATTATTATTATTATTTTTTATATATGTTTTTATCTTTTAAATCTAGTTTGTTTTAAGCTAAAAGAATCCTATCTATATTAGGTAATTATTGTTTTACTATTCATGGAGTTATTTGGTAGCTTAAACAAGCTCTTGTTAGCACCCAAACAAAAGCTCGAACCTTTGGTTTCTTATGTTCTAATTCGATTTAGGCTTCAATGTTTTACTTGGTTTAGCTTTCCATAGTTTCTCATTGTCTAGTCCAATAAAGGCTCTTATCTAGGCGTGATATCATATCACTCAACTTACTGAAGTGCATCTATTTATCAGGGTTCGGTACAAGGTGTGACCTCATTGTATCACAATTTACGAGGTGTGACCTCATTTTAGATCCAACTAGTTCACTACTAGGGATTAGTTGGCAACTCCTCTACTCGTTTCCACCCATGATATTCTTGTGCCACATAAGCTAATCTAGGGTCACTCGTCTATCTATACCCATGATATTCTTGTGCCACATAAGCTAATCTAGGACCGCTCCTCTATCCATACTAACTCCCAAACATTGGGGGTGGGAGGGGAAATAGAATTCCATGCAAATTATGATGGTGACATCCATGTAGTCCTTAGGTCAAATATGAGGAAGTGACCCCATATTCTGGCCAGACCATGCAAATACTTTTGTGTCGAATCCTGAATCTTGTGTTATGCAGGACTTGGCTACGGGGAAGATGATTGGCTCGGGTAAACAATTCGGAGGTCTTTATCATATTTCTTCATCTCCAATCAAGTCTTCGGCAAATCAAGTATCTCAGTCATTTGATTTGTGCCATTTACGGCTAGGTTATCCTTCTCCTTCTCGTTTTAAATTTCTAGCTAATCAATTGCATCTAATAATGCTACTCTTTCTCATAATGGTAATATTTGCGCATTACCAAAACAAACTAGGTTGTCTTTCCCAAAGAGTTCAATAACAACCCATTCAGCATATGTTAAATTGTGATGTTTGTGGACCACATAAAATTTCAACCCATTCTGATTTGTATTTTTTCTCCCTGTTGTTCATGATTTCGAGACCATGCAAACCTAGGATTTTGTGTCGAATTCAACTAACAGCCAAATAATTTATTTAAAAATTCAAAGGGTATGACTGTAATTTCATTAAAAAACCATTCCTCTCTCCTTTATATATATATATATATATAGCCATACGATGAGTAGATTCCATATTCTAAAACTCTTATGGAAATTTTAACTCCACAAATATTCCCCTATTTCCTTTGTAAGGTTTCAATTTTGATTTCTGACAATTTTGTGTAGCCGTGGCTAAGCTCTACCATTTATGGCGACTTAGTTTGTTCTTTCTTTATCACTACAGACAATTGATACATTTGTAACTTCTTTAAGCGGTAGTGTTCATGCGCCGCCCTCGAATCATGGCAACAGTGGTCAAACAAACTAAAATTTCTGACAATACATATTTAAGACTTTAAAGATAATACACGAAAATATATGTATAAGAGAAATGTCAAATTATTTTACTTTAACAATATGTTTGGTGATGGATTAAAACAACATTTTAATCGATTATTAACAGACAATACATACTTTATACTCGATGTGCCAGGTTGATTTCAATATTTTATATTTGTTTCTTATTTTTTATTGTCATTATCATATATCAAAATAATATTGATAATGAATAGTCTCGATTAGCTATATGGTATATATGGAAACTTGTTAAATATTTGTAATAAACTTTTAACTCTAAAAAAATATCACATCTAATAATTTTATATCCAACGTTTTTTTTTCTTGAAATAGAGTCATAATGATCTAATTAGAATAAGAAATTAATTATTAATTATTTTAACATTTAAAATTATTCATTAAAAAGTAATTTATATTTTAGATGGATAGAAGTTTGAGGTTCCGAGAAAGATGTCCGTGGAATGTTTGTTACTATAAATTATATCTTACATCTCCTTTTTCTTTTATCTTGATTTTGTTGTAATTATTTAGATTTTTTTTTTGTTAGAAATTAAATACAAAAAATATTTTACTTATTATTGAATCACATTCGTAACGACCCTAAATTCAACGTACTCAGAGCCGCTACCTGCTCATCTAATGTGCAAATATAACTCTTAAAATCCAACATTATTTATAACATGTTGGATCAAGCTTTGGTCAAGCTTGGAACTTAAGAGTTCTCCTTAGGAATCGCCCAATGTGATCTTGTGCACGTAGAATCTTGTCAGCGACCAAGGGTACATATGGGGAATCCCTTATTTCATGGATACCTCGTTAGTCATCCTAGGAAGTAAAGACGTATCTATCGTGATGAATGTTTTTCCCCATATCTTGGTTTCACTGCCTAATGGAGTATTAAAATTTCATAAGCAGTAGAGTTCATTTAGCGGGTTATTTTAATCATCTCCAGCTATTTGGTTGTTCCGGGGTCTTAACTAACGGTTCTTTAGATTTTTCTTAAATGGAACGTTAAATACATTAAAGAAACACCACAAGTCTAAATTATCATCCACCCAAATTTTGTAACTACCCAAGAATAAATGAAGTTTTATTTTTCTTTAAGGTGACATGAATTGAACATTTTGTTATAATTTGAACAATATTTTCTTCACATTTTCCTTACAGTTTATATTGCATGATTGGTGTCTTGGTTCATATCACATAGTATATACTTGCACTTATACTTGTGATTATTTACACCTTTTTCTATATACATTCAAGTGACGAGCAGTAGAATGTTAAGTGCCTACAAAAATTAGAAGGGATAAAATTACAAAAATGTCCGTACTAAGCATATAAGTTAAATTACTTAAAAGATCTCATATGAAACCTATTTTTATGGTTAAGAATTATTGTAAAATATTTCAAAGTAACCCGAGAATGTTTAGGCCCCAAACAAAGGTTGGTGAATAATGACAAAAATACTTCTTTTATGCGTTTAAGATATTTTATGCCTAAAATGGACTCCAAATGACTTGAGAATCTAAATATGGATAATTATAATGATATGCAAAACTATGTAAGATTTCATCCTAATTGGATCAAGTTTAAATCCTAAACCAGGATTGGAGTGGAAAGAGACAAAAATACACGTAGGACCTCGTGATGTTTCTAAGTATTTAACGAACTTGAAATAATATGAAATTTTATATGAGACTCATTTATAAAATTGTAGACGATTATATATGACTTCAAATTTATTAAAACAGGTTTGGGTATAAGAAAATACTATGATAGAAAATTATGAAAAATAACCCTAATGAATCTTTCATAAACATTGATGATTTTTATGAACTCCTAATTGACATGATATGCTGTGGGCCGCTTATTTAGTATACTATTAAAGATTCATGCATGTAATTACAAAGTGTTTATAGTTATGAACTATGTGCTTGAAATGGAGCTTAAAAATATCACATTGTGACTTGTGCCTTAAGTTTTGAGAAGAAACTTTAGAATTGGAACCAAAGAACTTTAAAAATATAATTATTCTTAATCATCCTCGAAGGGAGGGAGAAATTAGAAATTGAATAGTCAAACATTCTATACTTGGAATACTCCCAAACCCACAAAATTTAACACCCTTTCTAAATTTGGTGGTCTTTTCTAGATATAGTTTTCCCATCAAACTATATATAGGGCTTCACATTGTAAGAAAAATCCAAGCACCAACATCTTAGCAATTGCTGCTCTTCATCATTTGTGAAACGAGCTTGTAACCTTACAGCCACAATGGCCATCGGCAAAGGTTTCAAGCTCTTTCATATCCTTTTCCTAGTGATTTCTTGGCAGTATTGTGCAAAAGTGGGTGCCACTTTTAGTGATGTCACTGGTGTCGTAAATCTCGATCATCAATTTTCATTTCGTGCATTTGCATCACATGGCACACAAGCACAAGATGGAAGCATTGCTCTAACCCCGGAGGCTGCATTAGATGGAAGCATTGCTCTAACCTCGGAGGCTGCATTAGATGGAAGCATTGCTCTAACCCCGGAGGCTGCATTAGATGGAAGCATTGCTCTAACCCCGGAGGCTTCATCGGATGGAAGCATTGCTCTAACCCCGGAGGCTGCATCGGATGGAAGCATTGCTCTAACCCCGTCGGAGGCTGCATCAGATGGAAGCAGCGTTGCTCTAACCCCGCCGGAGGCTTCATCGGATGGAAGCAGCGTTGCTCTAACCCCGCCGGAGGCTTCATCGGATGGAAGCAGCGTTGCTCTAACCCCGCCGGAGGCTTCATCGGATGGAAGCAGCGTTGCTCTAACCCCGCCGGAGGCTTCATCGGATGGAAGCAGCGTTGCTCTAACCCCGCCGGAGGCTTCATCGGATGGAAGCAGCGTTGCTCTAACCCCGCCGGAGGCTGCATCGTATGGAAGCAGCGTTGCTCTAACCCCGCCGGAGGCTGCATCGGATGGAAGCAGCGTTGCTCGAACCCCGTCGGAGGCTGCATCGGATGGAAGCAGCGTTGCTCGAACCCCGCCGGAGGCTGCATCGGATGGAAGCAGCGTTGCTCGAACCCCGCCGGAGGCTGCATCGTATGGAAGCAGCGTTGCTCTAACCCCGCCGGAAGCTGCATCGTATGGAAGCAGCGTTGCTCTAACCCCGCCGGAGGCAGCATCGGATGGAAGCAGCGTTGCTCTAACCCCGCCGGAGGCAGCATCGGATGGAAGCAGCGTTGCTCTAACCCCGCCGGAGGCAACATCGGATGGAAGCAGCGTTGCTCCAACCCCGCCGGAGGCAGCATCGGATGGAAGCAGCGTTGCTCCAACCCCGCCGGAGGCAGCATCAGATGGAAGCAGCGTTGCTCAAACCCCGCCGGAGGCAGCATCTGATGAAAGCAGTGTTGCTCAAACCCCGGAGGCTTCATTGGATGGAAGCGGCGTTGCTCAGACCCCGAAGGCTTCATTGGATGGAAGCAGCGTTGCTCAGACCCCAGAGGCTTCATTGGATGGAAGCGGCGTTGCTCAGACCCCAGAGGCTTCATTGGATGGAAGCGGCGTTGCTCAGACCCCGGAGGCTTCATTGGATGGAAGCGGCGTTGCTCAGACCCCGGAGGCTTCATTGGATGGAAGCGGCGTTGCTCAAACCCCGGAGGCTTCATTGGATGGAAGCAGCGTTGCTCAAACCCCGGAGGCTTCATTGGATGGAAGCAGCGTTGCTCAAACCCCGGAGGCTTCATTGGATGGAAGCAGCGTTGCTCAAACCCCAGAGGCTGCATTGGATGGAAGCAGCGTTGCTCAAACCCCAGAGGCTGCATTGGATGGAAGCAGCGTTGCTCAAACCCCGACCATTGCACCAATTGGAAGCGTTGCATCGGATGGAAGCAGCATTGCTCTAACCCCGGAGGCTGCATCGGATGGAAGTAGTATTGCTCGAACCCCGACCATTGCACCAATTGGAAGCGTTGCATCGGATGGAAGCAGCATTGCTCTAACCCCGACCATTGCACCAATTGGAAGCGTTGCAGCGGATGGAAGCAGCATTGCTCTAACCCCGACCATTGCACCGGATGGAAGCGTTGCAGCGGATGGAAGCAGCATTGCTCTAACCCCGACCATTGCACCGGATGGAAGCAGCGTTGCTCAAACCCCGACCATTGCACCAATTGGAAGCATTGCATCGGATGGAAGCAGTATTGCTCTAACCCCGGAGGCTGCATCGGTTGGAAGCAGCGTTGCTCAAACCCCGACCATTGCACCAATTGGAAGCGTTGCATCAGATGGAAGTAGTATTGCTCTAACCCCAGAGGCTGCATCGGATGGAAGCAGCGTTGCTCAAACTCCGACCATTGCACCAATTGGAAGCGTTGCTCAAACCCCGAACATTGCACCAATTGGAAGCGTTGCTCAAACCCTAAACATTGCACCAAGTAGCACACAAGCTTGAGAGTAATTGTTAAGCATTGATGTTTCTTTGGCTATTTACAAAGAAAAACTTAAGCCAAACAACTATTTTGTAGGCAAATTCATTATTTCTATATTGTTTTTCTAAATGAAATGATTTTCCTACATTTTTTTCTCTAATTATTTATTTTAATTAAAGATATTTTTAAAATTTAATGAAACATATTTTATGACTTCACAAACTACTAAGTGATACCATAACCAATGAATTTATCAATAAATTGATACAAAATATCGGTAGACAAGTAAATAATAATAGGTCATTATAGTGAAATCGGTAGACACGCTCCTTAGGAAGCTATACTAGAGCATCTCGATTTGAATTCGAGTAGCAGCATGCTATATTATATTATAAACAAGTTCTATAATATAATTAATTCACGTCTCTTACATAAAATTAAAAGAACTTTTGATTTTTAAGCCATTCTATTTTATGAACCATTTTTGTGCAATATTTTATGAAAATTATTATCAATATAATGTATTAAATTATTATAATCTTATAATAATAGGATTTTGTGGTTCAAAGTTGAATCGAGACCGAAAAATGGAAATTTCAACTCCACAAAAATAAGCTAGGGTCGTAACTTTGTAAGATTTCAATTTTTTTCTTCGACAATTTTATACACTTTGCTCTGCAATCCACAACGGTCGACCTAGTTCATACTCCTTTATAGCCACCGACAATTGATACATTTATAATTGCTTTAAGTTGAAGTGCGACTTTGCTCTGCAATCAACAACGGTCGACCTAGTTCATACTCCTTTATAGCCACCGACAATTGATACATTTATAACTGTTTTAAGTTGAAGTGTTCCTCCGCCACCGAGCCATGGCGGCGATGGTCAAACAAACTAAGATTTTAGCCGTCGTATTTAAGACATCCAATAGGGTTTGAACAGAAAGACATCCTCTAAGATGTTGGAATGACTCTTAATTTGTGATTCATGATATAATGATTCAAAACTAAGCATAGTTCAAACACAGGATTTTGTATCGAAATATGGGATGTTTGTAATTTCGTAAGGTTTCAATTTTGTTCTCTGACAATTTTGTACAAGTGCAATTAAGCTCTGTCGTCTACCGTTATCCACCCAGTTTTCTCCTTATTTACCGCCACCGACAACTGATACATTTGTAACTTCTTTTAACCGACAATACATGCTTTATACTCTATGAGCCACGTTGATTTCAATGTTTTCTATTTGCTTCTTATTTTTTAATTGTCATTATCATAAATCAACCTAATATTGATAATGAATATTCTCAATTAGCTATATGGTATATATTGAAACTTGCAAAATATTTGTAATAAACTTTAACTAGAAAAAAAATATCACATCCAACATTTTTTTTTTTTTTTTGACTGTAGTCATAATGATCTAATTGTTAGATGAAAGAGTCCCAAATTCGTTAATGTAGGAAATGGTGTCCCAAATTGGTTAATTTAGGGAATGGTAATGGGTTTATAATCTAAGAATACACTCTCCATTGAGAGCTTATGCTCAAAGTGGACAATATCATACCATTGTGGAGAGTCGTGTTCGTCAAACACTAATCACAATAATAAATTAATTATTTTCACATCTAAAAGTATTCAATTTTATATTGCAGATTCAACGAGAAAGATGTCTCTTGATAATTTGCCAGTACCGTAATTATATTTTACACCTTCCTTCTCTTATCTTTATTTTGTTGTAATTATTTATATTTTATTTTTTTATATTATTTTATTTATTTATTTATTTATTAGAATTTAAATACCAAAAAACATCTTAGTGTTAACGTTTTAAATGGGTTGTATGAAAATAATATTATAACAAAGGTCTATAAATATTTGTATGAAAATAATATTATAAAAAACATATATAAACATTCCAAAACTTTACTGCTGCAAAGGTGCATTAGTTCGCATGAAATCTAACACATGGATCATTGTAAATTAGATAAATAATTCTTCATAAATTCAAACATGAATATGATGACATGGGCTCACCTAGGTTGACTTGAATTTTACTTTAAAGAATCAGGTAAGTAAATTAGTGACAACCGCTTAAGCGGATTAGGTAAGTAACCTTGTGGCCCCAACATTCACCATAATATTTTTTATGTTATGCTTGTGTGCTTTATGCATTGAAATATGACATTTTGTTATGTATACAATGTCATGTCAATTACATCATGTTATGAATAAAATGAAATGCTAAGAAAGAATGGAATTGAAAAATAATGTAATGGACTATGTGATGTTTACTAGGTATACATAGTGCATGTACGGAATATATCATGGACGAAATGAGAAAAGGAATAACGTTAATACTATGTTTTAAATGTAAGTCATGGGCATCTCATGCATGTATGTGTGTCATGTGCATCGGGATACTTCCCCGTTATGTTATGTTAATACGGGTGTGTACCTTCGATATACATGTTTCACATGATATCATGGGGGTCTTTCCTTTTCTGTGGCATTTGGCGACGTGTAACCCATTAAGCCTGAACATGTTAGGCCGAGGGGTACGTATATGAGCCCACCTTGCTCGAAACTGAAAATAGTCTAAGCACATGTGACGGTTTTAAGATAGGTCTCAATCATGTTATGTGTGTGATTGCATTGCTAAACCGAACCGTCGGATGATTTACAAAGTATTTAGTAAAATACTCAAGCCACGTGCTACCCTTATACTTTCCACGTAAAGGTAAAGCTTCACGCTCGGATGATGGTTAATGCTAGAAATATCATGGAAGTCAGAATAGGGCATGATATAGCAATAGAACCCATTGAATTTTATTTAGTAGTTGGTAAGTGTATTAAATGATTTTTTTTTTATATTAAAAAATATGTTATGTTTAATTTATTGTGTTAAATTCAATATATAAGTCAACGATTTTATTTTAAAATTATTTATTATGAACTTTAGCCTATGAGATTAAAGCCGGTCTGTGTAACGCCACTATTTTGGCTAAGAAAATAGGGCGTTTCACATACTATTCTTCAAACAACATCTTCAATGCAAGTCACACGAAGCACACGTCTAGCAACGTTCACCTTCATTGTGACACATGCATATGCCGCAGGTTAGCTCAGTTAGGAAACAGGGCTTGGGGGTGGTGAAGAGTTTACATCATTCTTCCCTTTAAGGTGTATTTTGAACCATTTCAAATCTGACAAGTGTGAACATGCTTTAGGCAAACAATCATACGCTGTCATAAAGCATCGTATAGTCTTCTATTGACACAAAATTTTGTGAGCTTTCATGTTTCATATAGATGGATTTAATTCTAAAACTAAATACCCAAATTATCTCTAACTTAAGCTTTAGAGGTTAATGCTCAAGGCCCTACCTTAGCCTTGAAAAAGCCTATTTTTTATAATTATGTCAAAATCATTGCATTTGTCTTGCCTATTCCTTAGCTTGGTTTTCTTTGGTGTGTTGGATGATGCAACGTTCTCCTCGATCACTTCATGGATTGTCTATTTTGGTCGTTGCATGACCGGATGGGTATCACTCAAGGATTTGCCACTTTGCTTGTTGTTACGAAAGAGTCGCACAGTTTAAAACCTTACCTCTCCAGCTCCGTTCAATACACTTCTCCCCCTCGATTTCTTCAAGAAACTTAAAAACTGAGTCACAGGGAAGACTTAGGGATTGATGTCTTACCTTCCCATGGATTGTACGTTAAGTTATTCTCCTCCAAAGTTCATCAATAATTGATTTCCTCACCGGAGCTCAACGTATAAAAAGCTTATTGGCTAGCCATTTCTAAGGGTTTTCCGGGAATCACTTCTTTATTCTTCCCTCTAGCTAATTGAATTGGTTTGGAGGAAAGTCTTTAAGTGTGTGACTTTAATTTAGAGAAATTTTCTTTGGTTAGCAAATAACCAGAAAACACCAAATTAAACTTTCTTTGACAGCTTGATCTACGACGTTTTGACTTTCGATTTCTTATCAAAATTACTCATCTCAATCCTCGTAAACTAAAGGAATGTTCAATTTGAAGAAAAATAGACCGTAGATAGGAATTCGATACTTGCCCCCAATTTGAACCGAAAATTGACTTTCTTCGATTACAAACGTTCTTAAGGTTAATTCTCTTCGTGGTCTACAACAAGAATGTTCTTGAAGGTGAAAAAAATCGAATGGGATTGGTCTTGCTCGATGAATTTGTGTGTATGCTCGGATTAGATTTTCGATCTTTCTTTGAACTTCTTCAATGGTCATACGTACTGGGAATGGGTTCTAGGCTCATTCAGCGCTCGGTTCCTTTGTAGAACTTGTGGGTAATCTTGTTTAGATGGCTTAGAAACAAGTTTGAACAAAAATGGTGGAGAATTTCTATCGAATTTGGATGAAAATCGAGAGTAGGAAACCAAAAAACTAAACGGCTATAACTCCCGATTCCAATGTGACGAAAATATACCATCTTTTGGCTTCTGTCATCAAGCATTTTGATATATGGCTTTGCAGAGTCTTAACATGTGCTGCACAAGCAAAGATTTTTATATTCTTGAAGTGAGGTGTCTTACCGATCCATGTTTTGTACGGGGTGTGAGTGTCCAACGCCTTCGTTGGTAAACAGTTTAGAAGATGGATTGCATCTCCTATTACCTCGCCCCAGGAAATTATCGAGACTTGCATACTCTCGAGTAAGCTTCTTGTAGTGTTCAATATGGTACGACTTCTTCGCTCGACCACTCCGTTTTATTGTGGATTGTATAGTAAAGTGAGTTGATGCTTGGTACTTCCTCTTCGCAAAATTTGGAGAAGTTATGGTTTAAGAATTCCTCACCTTGGTTGATGCGCAAGGTTTTTAGTTTGTGATAGACCTATTTTCAACGGGTCTTTTGAACTTCTTGAACGAACGTAATGCCTCTCATTTTTCTCTGAGCACGTACACTCACATCCAACAACTATAATCATCAACAAGAGAAAATACTTATTGCCAAAGATCGACGATGAAGTGGTCAGGCTAAATAAATCTGCATGGACCAGTTGCAGTGGTTGCTCAGCATGGAAACTAGTTTGAGCTAGTAATGATAGTCTTGCTTGTTTGGAGACTAGTAAACTTTCACATAGTTGGTTCGGGTGTATTATTTTAGGTAGCCCCCGTAA